AAGTCGTTAGGATATATAGTTGCATTCTCTTAATGAATAGAATGATTTGTTCTAATGGTGTTTGTAAATAGGGTATCAAGTGTGCATCTTGTACAGCAATTAACCACTAAGAAGAACGTATGCAGTGTGTTAATTATTGAAACTGTCCTACTAATTGGATTTGAAACTGTCTCATTGCTATTTGTGTCTCAATAAAATTATTGGGAAAAAAAAATAAAACCAAGCATCCAGACCCATTTCTGTGCCTCTCTCCAGCCCCCCATGTGGCTTCCATCCGAGGCCGTCACCATGAGCTGGCTGCACTGCCTTGCTTGCCTCCCACCTTGCACGGACACTGCTGTCACTGAGAGAAGGTTGGCGCTGTCCTGACAGCAAGAGGCAGCCTTTCTGGAGCTCTGATGTGCATCCCCCATATCTCTTGCTTTCTAGGAGAAATAATCTGGACCCACCTAACTGCTGTCTGTGGCCAAATATAAATTTTACTGTCCCTTGGTGTGACCGTGTGACCTCCTCAGGTCATATCATCTTTACTTTGTCATCTCCTTGTGGGCCCCCAAACAGGTCTAGATAGTCTAGAAGGCCAGTAGCAGCCGGGCTTGGCAGCTCCTGCCTGTGATGCCCGACTTTGAGGTGATAAGGCAGGAGTATTACACACTTAAGACCAGCCTGAACAACTTCACAAGTAAGCGAGACCCTGACTCAAATGAAATAAACAAACAGGACTGATGATGTAGTTTGGTGAGAAGGCGCTGGGCTTGCTCCCCAGTACCGCAATAAAACAAACCCAAACTATTACACAAATTTTCTATTCCTGCCAATGCACACATTTAAAATACAAGGCATTTAAGGTGTTTCTTTAAAAATAAACTTAGTACGATTTTTGAGTTTTATGTGAGAAAGCCATTCCCAAAATAAATTTCCATAGGGGAAGCAGTAGGAAAACCCTAATTTGTTTTAAAGTTCTCGTGGATTTAGAATTGGATGAAGTAAATGGTTACTTATTTGAATTTAGGTGGTAGGGCCCAGATAGACGCAAATAGATAGACATTTTTAGCATTTCTTTAAACCATAATTCTGTTTGAGGCAAACTGTTCCTATCAATAATGCGTTTGCAGAAGTATAATCCTGTGGCTCTGTTAAAATCAGCACACAAGCTCTAAAGAAGCATAAAACTATACTACAGAATAAAGTCAGTGACTAACAGTACTATACCATTTACAAGAGCCGGGAACTGTGTGTGTGGGGGGGCACGCCTGTAGTCCCAGCTCTCAGGAGGCTGAGGCAGGAGGAGAGCCACGAGTTCGAGGCCAGCCTGGGCTGCACAGTGGCCTTCAAGGCAAGACTAACTACATAACAAGGCCGTGTCCAAAACCAGCCAACCAAACCAAACAATTACAAAACTTACCACTCCGCCGTCTTTCTTTTAAAAGGCATTTGCCACCGAAGGGTCTTTCAGCAACTTTTTATTTTCTAAGGATTTAAGATACGTTTTCTTCTACATCTCCACCTCTTTAAAAGCAAACAGAAGCTAGGACACGCGCCTCTCAGGGTCCGGCCCGGCGTCCGCGCCGAGGAGCCCGCGCAGCGCGCCCAGCTCCTGCAGCAGCAGCTGCGCGCTGGGTCTCTGCGGCGCCTGCGCCCGCCAGCCGCGCTCGATGACGCCCGCCAGCCCGCGCCCGAGGCCCGAGCCGGTGAAGACGGCGGCCGCCAGCGAGGGCCGCAGCCCCTGCGCCACCACCGCGTAGAGCACGTGCTGCCGCTCCCCGGCGTAGGGCCGGCCGCGGGTGCTCATCTGCCAGAGCGTGATGGCGAACGCGTACACGTCGGCCTTGGCGGTGACCGGCTCGCCCCTGAGCAGCTCCGGGGCCTGGTGCGTGTACGTGCCGCCCAGCCGGTAGGCGGCGCCCCGCGCGCCCCGCAGGTCCTCCAGCTTCGCCGAGCAGCCGAAGTCGCCGATTTTGCAGACGTCCTGCTCGCTGATGAAGATGTTGGCGGGCTTCAGGTCCAAGTGCACGATGCGCCTGGCGTGCAGGAAGAGCAGGCCGTTGGCCACGTCGAGCGAGTACTGCAGGCACCTGCGCAGACCCCAGGGCGCCTCCCCGGGGCCGCCGGCCGCGCCGTAGATGGCCTGGTGCAGGGTGACGTGGCCCCCGAACTCCATGATGATGGTGCCCACGCTGTCCGAGCCCGCGGGCGCGCGCGCGCTGGCGGCCACGACGCGCACGAGGTTGCTGTGGCGCAGCCGGGCCACGTTGAGCTCGGCCCAGAAGCTGCGCCGGGACGCTCGCGGGTTGGCGGCGCGCTTGCACACCTGCTTGACGGCCACGGGGACGCCGCGGTAGGTCGCCTTGTACACCGAGCCGAAGCCGCCGGCGCCCAGCCGGTGCAGCAGGCGCACCTGCTCCCAGTCGATGGAGCACCAGGCCGGCCGGCGCGGCAGCCGCGGGCCCCGCGTCCCCGCGCTGCCCGGGAGCTCGCAGGGGCTGCTGCAGGGCCGGGAGTCCACGGACGGGGACGGCTCCCGAGGCAGGCGGCGGCACAGCGCCAGGGGCGAGGGCATCACCGCAGGAGCCGGTGGGCCCTCGCGCCGGCCCTTCTGTGCTCGGCGTCCCTGCCTCCTGCAAAGGAGCTGAGGGCGCGCAGATGGCGGGGCGTGTGACGAGCCAGGACAAGCCCTTTCAGATGAAGTTCACAGCTAACGTGAGCTCGTGTGGAAACAGCCGCCGACCACCGAGCTGCCCCGATGCACCCTTTAATACCGCTTCTTTAGTCGTAATAAAGCGTGCTCTTCAAGCCTCGTCCAGTGAACATCACCAGGGCTTAGACCAAGAGGCTGAAGAGCGCAGCGAAGTCGCGCACGCTTGCTGGCAGGGCCGACGACTGTGCGCGGCACCCTCAGCTGCATGAAATCACCTCCGGCAGGCGTGGCTGCGAGACTCGAGCCTCAGGCAGCGGACCCTTGTGGAGCCACTTACTGGGATCATTAGGTGAAGACTCACATGAATCAGAAACGGAAACCTCACAAGCTAAGTATGCTACCAATTTCTATTCAGGGAAAAGGACGGTTGGTGCTTGTATCGTTTGATCAATTTTTCATGCCTATGGCTTATAATCTGAACAACTACTTTGAAGGTAACACTACATATTATATTTATTTATTTATTTTTATGTATTTAGTACAGGATCTACCGGGCCTCATTATGCAGCTCGAACTCGTAGTGATCCTCCTGTCTTCAGCCTCCCAAGTGCTGGGATTACAGGCCTAGGCCACACCCAATCTCGAGTCACCTTCTGGGCACGTCCCAGGGATGGGACAGGACAGCACGCTGGGATCAAACCCAGGCTTCTGCGTCTATCTCAGCAGACGCTTTAGGCTGAGCTATCTGGCTGGCCTTATATTAACCATTGTTAATCTATTATCTTGCTTTAAAATTATGTATCATTGTTCTATTATGTTTTTCTTTTTAAAATAAAACCTTCAAGCAATTAATTGAAATAAAATTACTGATTTAGATCAAAACACACACCACTGAAGTGCATCAGGGAAGGGAAAATTCCGTGACTTTCTGTTCTGCTTATACAGCACATTTGTGAGACTTTTAAAAAGCAATATACTGATTTCCTAAAACTCCTTCTTGTCCAAGGCAACTCAGCCCACCCAGGGGACTCACCTGCAGGAGATTCTAGAGAAACAAAATAGGGGTCTTGGAGCACAGCTGTGCGAGAAAACAGCCAGAATGACGGTGGTCAGAACTTCAAGTAACAACAAAGCTGGAGGAATTGCAAGTGAGAAAAATTCTGAATAAATAAAAGTGGAGCAGAATCACTACATCCGTATATATGTTAGAATCACATGTATGTTAGAAGACAAGATACTGAAATTAAATTTGGGGTCTAGTCATCAAAACATAAATTCAAACAATTTTGTACCACATCTTTGGATAAAAGACTAACAATAGTACCCTCTTGTTTAAAAAAGGTACAGAATTTTTTGAATGCTTTTTATTTGATTTTATTTACTTTTTGTGGCTGGCTCAGTCTGCCCTCAAGGTGGCGCTGGCACCGCACGTGGGCTGGGGATCGAACCTTGGTCCCTGCCCTGCCTAAGCTTGCCTAAGCAGACACTTCAGACCGCTGAGCTATTTGGCTGGCCAAGAACATTTTTAATCAAACGCACACAGGTGTAAGCACCTTTGTGTGACAACCATGCTATGCTCTGCAGGGCCCTGGTTCTGCAGGGTGAGTTACTAAACACGGCCATTTACGTAGCAACGGTCCTGGCCGACGGTTTCTAGTCTGCGTTCCGTGGCTTGGAACGTCATCTTACATATATGCAACTTACCCGAGCCTCAGACTTTTCATGTAAGAAAATGAGATCATGGTTATCAAAATGAATTTATGTTGAAATAAAAGTTGTGGAATTTTGTCCAGATTGACAACTAATCAAAAAACAAAGAGAGTAAGACACAGCTGAGTGCGTTGGCACATGCCTGTGATCTCTGCTACTGGAAAGGCTGAGGCAGGGGACGCTTCAGCCCACAAGTTCAAGGCCACCTTCAGGAAAACAGCGAGCCCTCATCTCAAAAGGAAAAGTAAAAAAGAGTAAACTGTGTAATATTTCAGTAGAAACATAGTTCTGTGAACTTGTGTCAGACCCAAACTATGAAAGGTGATGAGTGGATCACATTTAAAAAGCACACAAGTGGTGTTGTTAGAAATCTGTATTGCACAATTGATCTTTGGTATTTTCTTCCCTGTAACAAAAATTCATATTATGTTATAGCGTCTGCCCAGGCAACCCGGCACCGCAGGCTTCACCGGCTCCACCCCGGCACACTCAGCTGGCCACTGAGACCCAGCTGGTCACTGAGACCCAGCTGGTGGCACCTGCCTGTAATCCCAGTGCTGAGGCTGAAAGCAGGAGGCTCACTGCGAGTCCCAGCTGTGTATTGAGACCCTCTAGACCCTGTACTAAGTACATGTTTTTAAAGAAGTAAATGTTAATCCTGATTTTGGTACCACAAGTATACTCACTACATAATCCTTGCCCTCAAAAATATCCCTGAGCAGGGGCATGTTGGCCAAGGGCACAGCCCTGGGCCTGTCCGCCTCGGTTTCTCACCTTCTTGCTGCCTCAGTTTCCTCATCTGCAAAATGAGGTAACCATGTCCAGTTTGTGATTGTTGGGAGGACTGCAGTGCTTCAGATTTTATTTTGAGCAGAATTTACAGGCGATAACAATTAAAAGCTGTTGTTATTTATGACATTCATAAAAATCGATGTATATGGTGTCACATCACCCTAAGCAACACAGATTTGTTAGGTAATAAGGGTATCTCTCTGCGGATGTAGCTCAGTGCCACAGCGCCTGCTTGGCATGCGGTTGTGAGTTCATTCCTGTTACCCTCCCCACAAACAACAACAAAAGCCAGGCGTGGAGGGGCACACCTGTTATCCCAGCACTGGGGAGGCTGAGGCAGGAGGCTCTGTTGCAAGTTAGGGACCAGCCTGGGCTACAAAGTGCACTCAAGGCCAGCCTGAGCTGCACAGCGAGACCCTGTCTCAGAAAGACAAAAATAAATGTGTCTCGCAGGCGGGGTAACTCATGCCACCGCAAGCTGAACCCCGCAGTCTGAGTATTTCCCTGGCCCGCCCTTTGCAGTGAAAACGCCAAGGCTCCCTGCAGTCCGGCGGGGACCCAAATCTAGTTAACCTCC